GATTGAGACTTGATGTTTATGATGGACATTTATTCATAAATAATTATTTAATTAAGCCCATGTAATGACCATAACAATAGCCACAATAGTAATGCAGAACAAGGATAGGAAACTCCAACCGGGATCTGGAGCCTTTTCAAAAGTTCCCAATGATCATCTTCAAAGCAACAAGCATGTCCGATTCTCCTCGGAAGAAAATCTAACATTGAGTGGATTTCATCTGGATTGGGGACCTATAAGCACTAAGTTGCAAAATAAAGTATTCAGAGCATTATGATTCAATATTGGAGCAGAAAAAAGGAGAAAAAAAATTAAACAAAATTAAAATACATATGTAAGTGCTATCAATTAGACAGATAACAAGCACCTCGCCACAGTGGAGAGTTATTGGAAGTCCTTGATTTTTAGCAAACTCCAAAACTGGGGAAAAAGTTGGCCTAGAACAAGCCAAATTTAATATATACTTCAGTGTACAAATGAAAGTTGCAGTAAACCAATTAGAACTATAGGTATTGTACAGTACCATTCACCAACAAGAGGATTTCCAGAAAGATCTATGCCCACAACTCCCCGGTTTCTCATTTCTAGAGCAAGCTTCACCTATCAAAAAGGAGGCAACAAACTCCAACAATTGCATACACTAAACAAAAACGTAATTTTTTTTTGAGGTTCGAATCTAATCAACTTACAGTTTCCATTGCAGCTTCAGCTGTCTCACGACGGTCAATACTGAGAAGTAGCCTCACATATATCTTCTTTCTTCCAGTTTTAGTTCCATTGCTTAAATCATTCCCAAGATGAGAGTTAACAGAAATATCTACATTCGGCCTATCGAAAAGGTCCACATCAACAGCATCTACAGATTGTATGCCCTCTAAAACTGCTTGGATGTATGAGCGCTTGCTCATCCCTTTAGAATCATTTCTCTGCAGTACACAAATGTAAGAAGATAACGATTCGTACATATCCAAAGTCAGTTCATTGTTTGCCACCATATTCTAACATCATATATAGTCATTTTTTTTTTTATTTTTTTTTTATTATCATTTATCACCATTGGTTCTTGCTTATAGCTGTAAAAGATAGTCATTCATGAACATGAAAGTATAAATGCTTGATATACCTTCGGAGTCGTTCTTAACTCCAAGTATACAACATTATCAGCAGCAAAGTCTTCAATAACCTATTGTACATAAAAAAAACATTTAACACAAGCTCTAAATATTTAAAAATACTATATGCAATCACCCAAAGCATTTAGCTCAAACTAACCTCTTTGCTGATCCTCGTAACAGTTTTGTGGTCTGTGGTAATAATATGAATCAAATCAAACATTTTGAAGACTTCACTGAGCGTACGATCCTCTGCACTCACGACAAAAATGTTTTAAGTCAAATTCAGAGTCAACATGTCACCTCAAAATTCAAAATTCACATATTATATCAAACATTTTGAAGACTTCACTGAGTGTACGATCATCTGACTGCATTCGCGATAGAAATGTTGTAAATCAAATTCAGGGTCAACATGTCACCTCAAAATTCGAAATTCATCTCACTCAAAGCACACACGTTGAAGGGCACGGGACGCAACATGAATTTTTAAGTCCACTTTAAGACTACTAAAGACCCAAGAAGAAGCCTAGGGTTTACACAGTATGACAATCACAAGCACTCAAAAAACTTGCCAAGATTCACAGAATCACTGTGCCCATATTTGGGCTAATTATATATCCAAAAACAACATATTCACCATGAACATCCAGAGCTAACTAATTACACAGATCATTCATTAAACTGGCCAGATATACGGAAGGGGGAAAACCTAAGAAAGAGAGACTGAAAACAAACCTTTGCGTATAACATGCTCTACGTCTGAGAAAACTATGGCGCCTTTCTCCCCCAATTCTCGGGCAAGTTCTCTGCAGATAACAACTTTTTTTTCAATAAAGTGAAGAAAATGCAAGGTTGAAAAAATCCATAACTTCCTTTTACTGTTTAGCATCAACTGCTACAAGCCATTTTGAGAAAACAAATTTCGTGCAAAGCAAAATTGTGTAGACGAAAATGAAAGGACCCACAGTAGAGTAGAATCTCTTATGGAGCCATTGAGATGAGCATGTAATTCAATCTTCGGCATCGACACACACCACTCCATAGCTCTCTATGCGTTTTCTGTATTTTTTTTTCAATTTTTTCTTCTAGAAGCAAAATACGTATGGTTTTATTTTCCTCTTCCTACCAAGGTCGAATTTATGCATTGTGGCCTCAATTTATTTTGGCCTAATGATAGCCCAACTAATGCTGAGACAATTATATTCTTTAATATGAATGAATATTTATAAATTAAAATTTCATACTCTTTAAATAAAATAAACAAAAATATTACATTGCCTAATATAAATATGCATTTTTATTATAAATATATAACCGCGTAACACACAAAAATTTAGATTGTAAATAGGTACCACAATAATGTAGAACCTAAAAATTATGATCCTATCATAAATTTTTTTTCCAGCTTTAGTTTGTTGTGTTCTTTAGTTGGAGATTGTACGGTTGAACATGTTGGTTTGTTTGTTATAAAATTTATCTTGTCGTTGGAAAAAAAAAATTATGATCCTTTCAACTGTGTATTTTAAATAGTGTTCGTTTAAATAATATTTCGTAATATTTGATATTTATCACATTTTCTCTAAAGAGTTTACTCGGAATGTTGATGGTTGATTTTATCTTACCCAAAATAGACCTTGTCAATGTTAGACATGACATGTTTTTTTACTTTATTTAATGAACAAAACAATATAAAAACTTACTTTTTTCTATTTGATTAGAATAATATATTCATACTATTAATACAAATGGAAAAATTGATATTGATTTTAAACTAAAATTTTGAAAAATCAAAACTCTGAATTAAACGATTTATTGGTCTATTATTATTATTATTATTATTATTATGATTATTATTATTATTATTATATTATTATTATTATTATTATTATTATTATTATTATTATTATGTACTTGACATTTTAGATTAAGTAATAAAAATTAAACTTTGTAGTTCGAATTGAATTTGAGTTTTAAGTTAAAAATATTAGTTAACATGCAGATATTTTAAATTAATTTATGGCTTACATTGTTATATTTTTAATTCTTACTTTTAGCTTATTCATTTTATTATTAAAAAACCTTCATATTAAATCATTTGCATTAAATATATACGAGGAATAATGATCAAATATTTTTTAAATTTAATAATAAATGTTATGACATCTTTTTGGATTAACAATCCAATTTTATCGTATCTAAATATACTTAATATTTATATAAAAAATATTATGCAAGTTATGAAACACAATATAAGGATCAAAACGCAACACATTACTCTATACTATTGTAACACTGTCTATAAATAGTCTATAGTGCAATTTTTTCTTGCTTTTGTAATATTGATCCCATAAGTCCTAAGACTGGCGAATTTAATTTTAGAAGCGATTTTATGCTAACTTCATAACAAATTAGTGATCATAACATTTAATATTAAATGCAGTATAATTTTTCTCACTAACGAATTTACTGATAAATAAATTTTACTCACCCTCCAACTAAAATTTATGAGATAAACTCAAAATCCTCAAATTTTGTAGTAATAAATTTATTCAATTTAGATATTCAAAGTAATATTCCATTGGTTGGGGTGGAGTGGGGGCGCTATAACTATTTGGATTCGACCAAACCTTTTGACTTTCAAATCCACTAATCTTGGATCAGACTAATTGTTTCACATTCTACCAACAACCGAGTTTGGACTTACGTGTTAGAAGTTAGATAAATTGTATATTGAAAAGTCTAACAATCATTGTGTTCAAAATTAATCATAATGTTTTTGAAAGTTTTAGATATTTTATGTTGATCTTGATTGGTCTTTAGAATTAATAACTTCAAAGTAAGATGGACTGTGTTACGTCATTCGTGAGCTCTAGTGATAATGCTTATTTATGGATGATTGTCGAGGACTTTAGAGTTTGTAATTACTATAGTTGTGACCAATTCATATTTATATCTATATAATAAGAATAAGATTAAATTATTTTTAGAAATATTTTTCCGCCATAAACATTAATTACATAATAAAAATGGTAATTTGATAATTCATTTTAAATAATAATAAAAAAAAAGAAAAATTAATTGCATTTACTATAGTTGCCTTTAAAAACATATCGAATTGATTTACATATGGCATTAACATCTATGTGGATTCACTATATATTTATGGTCACGATTTTTGTGGAGTAAGATTTTAAAAAATCAACTATTTGGAATGGAATTTGTTCAATTACATAACAATATTTTTTAAAAAATATTTTTCAAATATCTTCTTATTATTGGAATGAAATCGATAAAAAATATAAAAATAATAGAAGAGATAGATACAAAATCACTATTTCAAACAAATTTTAGATATACAATATTTTTTAAAGATTAAATACAAAGAGAAGATGTGTATGTTAGTAACAATATGTTTTAAAGATTAATTGATACAAAGAGAAGATATACAACAAATTATGTTAGTAACAATATTCTTTAAAAATGAATTTTCAATAATAGAGATAATCAAAATCGCTAGAAACAACAAATCAATTTACACATTTAGATTTCATCGTTAGGAACATCAGAGTGCACTTTGTGAATGAAGTCTTGGCGAATGCAAACTTTAAGTATCAGATTATATAAGTATCATATTGTATTTGAGAATGAGCATAGTATATCGATATTCAACATGTTAATGATATGTTCGACGAGCTGGCTGCAGATTGCTCGATAGCATAAAAGAATTGCTTTCGAGGAGGGCTCGTTCAGGCTCTATAACCTCCCTCTCCCTCAACCTGTTGATCCCCTTCAACCATCTCCCCTTCAACCTCAACATCTAATATCCCATGTGTCATAATCACAAATTTAGAAGAGATATAATCATACAATATCACATGAGGTATATGTTAGACTATAATACTTATTATTCACTCATATAATGGTTTTAAATACATTATATACATTAAAGATCTATATGTATATATGTGTGTATATATATATATATTAAATTTAAGTATTTTTAGCCATTTGATATTTACAAATTAGTTTAGAAAAATTTAGGTGACTTATTTTTCAAGAATATTATAAAATATTTTAGATATTTTTACATATGTTATATCATATTTTAGGCGTTTTTAATATTTGAAACATACATGTTTTATGTTCTTTTATATAGGATAATTTTATATTGTTTCCAACAAACTAATATACGTAAATTATAATTATTATTTCATATTTTTATCCACACGTTTAATTTATAATTATCATTTAATATTATTTTTTCATCCACATGTTTAATATATATTTATTATTTAATATTATATACTCGTGCATCGCATGGGCTATGCACTAATTCATTTGAAAGGGAAAAACCTTATTCAATTTATTATTTATCATCGTTAAAGTGTTCTATTCTCATCTATAAGAGATTGTTAGAATTTCTATTATTTTTTTTTGTGTTATGTTTTCGGAGTAAATTTTGTAGTGTATAATTCTCTTAAAATCTGTTTTTATTTATTTATTTATTCACCTCATGTGGTTGTTTACCAATATGTAATTATCAATATATTTTTCTTTTTCAAAATAAATAGGTAAATAAAAATCTTTCATGTTAACAACATGTAATTAATTGTTACCCATAACCAAAAGATAGATAATTTATGTCTTAATATTCAAAGTAACATTTGATCTTCTTTAGGTTGCTTAGGGGGCGCTTGTTTATGGAATAATTTGTTCAAAATGAGTTATTTTGGTTAATCATAGTTAATTTTGAAAAATATTGTATGGTTAGTTGTTAGTGGAATTTTAAGAATATATTAAAATAATATTTAAAATAAAATAATTAAAATTGATTTGATATAAAAGTAGAAGATAAATGATTGAAAATGATTGGAAATGATAGGTAGTCAAAATTATGTGAGTGGATGAATAGTGAATTAAAGTTGATGTGATGTGTAAGAATGATTGGTTTGTATAATTTAATTATATGAATAATATTAAAGATAGTGGAGTTGGGTTAAAGTTGAGTTAGATTTTGAGTATGAATTGTTGAAAATGAAATAATTTATAAACAAGCATGCCCTTAATGTTTAGGTAGTCATACTTATACAATAACATTATGCCTCTCTACACTTATATGTCATACTTTAAATCACAATAAATTTAATATTTTTTTCTCACAAAATATAATTGTAACTATTAAACAACTTAACATTAATCTTTATGTCAAGTAATATACTAATATTTCATTGGTTGAGAGTGGGTTATTTGGTCTCGACCAAATCTTTTTTCGTTGTGTTTCAAATCCACCAAGTTTCGACCTATATGTTAGATTAATTGCATATTAAAAAGTTAACAATCATAGTGTTCGAAATTAATCATGCTGTTTTTGAAACAAAAGTTGGTTGTCATTTTCGCTTTCCCCATAAATAGCTTTGGGGAGTTGGGACAGGATAATAAGAGAGTTCAAAAGAAAATGACATCACTATCACTCAACTTTCTGTGGACATTATTAACCCTCTAAAAATTTAATACGTGTCAGTTTATTAAAAGTTAGGGGTGTGAGCCCCTTGGCGATAATCATAAAGTTTTATAGTGATTATTGGTTCCATTTGCTCCATTCTCCCACGGGCAATCTGACTTGCTTGTCAAATTGTCAACTGAGGTCTAAGATTCAAAATTGCAATTAACTTTTTGTTTTAAAAAAAATCAAGAATGGCACTTAGCTTATTTAACTTTTTTTTTTTTAAATTTAAATAGAGAATGATAATTACTAATTAGCAGTTAGCTGAAAGTTTGTGTTAGACAGCCTAACAACATTTTGTAGAACTTATGCTCTATGAGAGGCTACCAAATGCCTCTCTACACTTTCTCTCTCTTAAAAGGGAAAAAAAAAATTGTGCATCTCCGAGCTTGATTCCTCTTTATTCGATGATTTTCTATGTTTGGTCGGACCCGGACTTGAGTCATTCATCATATCTTAGTAGTTACTCGATTGAACTTGAGTTTTAAGGTCTGAAAGGTTTATATCTTATTCCGTGTTTAGGATGACTGATATAGCATACAGAACTCAAGTCTTACTTCGAGTTTCTACAAAGCAGTTTGATGTACAGTTAAGTTGATTAGATCGGGTACAAGCGCTTAAACGATAGCGACCTGGTTTAAGGTCCACGATTGGAGCAACCTAAGGCTACAAGGTCGAGCTAGGTGGTAAATGCATGACTTAGGAAAGCAAATTGGGTCTAACTTGATGTGGCTAGCTGAGAAGACTTTATTAGTTAAATCAAATACGAAGAGTTGATTAGAGAAAGTGATGTAGTAAAAGCTAGCATATCACAAAAGGGATTGAGAGAGAACTCTCGTTTTTACTTATAACTTATAACAGCATTGAGTTGGTATGGTTAAATAATAGAATTAAACTAATAGATATTTCAGGAGTGTAAAATTTGGCAAAAAAGGAAAGAAGCCCCATAATGATCATATTAAGAGGAGAAAAAAAAAAACCATCAATTATGTGACAGAGTACTTGATAGTTGATAGTTGTTAAGTTGTTTTTCTATTTTATAGCGCTGAGTATGAAAATGCATATATAAACTAATGGTAATATAACCCTACAAAGTATATGCATTTTCATACTCAGCGCTATAAAATAGGAACACCAGACACGGACCAATGGGAATGGCAATTGGCAGCAACACCAGACAAAAATCCTCACAAATCTTTCAGAAATCTATTGTACATGTGTAAAATGTTTGAATTTGCTAGTACATGTGAAGTTAATAATTAGTGGTATTATTAAAAATAAACTTTCTTAGTCGTATTCTAAAAGAAAGTATAACTCTAGTGGTAAGATGGTAATTTTCTCTAAAATAAAAAAAATACCATAATTAATGGGTTTGAAAATAGAACCTAACTCTATTCTTCTTTGGAAAAAATGTACTGGACCTGCAAAATACATCTTGCGCATATGACAACTTTTAAGTTGCCTAGTTAATTTGTTCAAAGAGTTGTCCCCAGGTGTGCTTATCCAATGCCAGAGAGCATATGCTGTAAACTGGGCCTAGTCCACTAAATGTTATTAGCATTGGGCTTTGGTGTGTGGGCTTCAATAACTTTGTGGGCTGTCGAAATGTCGGAATTCTTTAAGAATCAACCATTATATTAAAAAGGGTAAAGTACATCAAACTCCTATATTTAGCGAAATTTACGTTTTTTCTTATACGTTCTAAAAATTGCGTCAAATCTATTATATTACTACTAGCATACTCCTCCCCGCCGTTAAATAAAGACAAAACGGAGTTAGTTTTATGCGTCTTTCCAATTTTACCCTCAATAATATAGATGCAAACCAGACTTGCTGGTGTTGGATTCGAACCAACAACATAAATGAGAAGACACTACGAAGTCACCCACTCATCCTTTTGTTGACATAAAGTCAATCTAAACAATTTATGTCAATATAAACAAATACATTACAAATGCAGCATTATTTATATAATTAAATTAATATAATCTATATGTAAAAGCAATTCTCCATTTTTATATACTTTGTGAAAAAAAATATGAACAGTTTTGGCTTTTAATAGAGCCTTAAATTCTTCCTAACAGAGTACAATAATTGCACTGAGTTTAATTTTGTGATCCCTTGCCGATATCCTGAATTCAATTCATCCATATAAGGCTCCTTTACTGTTCGCTGAGTCGCGTGAAGCTGCGACCCTCATGAAAAGTGTGCGTAAATTATACACACTAGCTAAATAATTTACCTATATTTCTCTATATTAAATATTTAATCATGTTATGTTATAATAAAATTAGATTATATATATTCTGAACTCGAGCTTAAGTTTGGGCCTGTTGTTTATATGCTCGAGCGTTCAACAAACTGGGCGAGTATATGTAAAATCACCTAAATACCCCTAACTAGACATTTTAATTAAAAATTAATTTCGAGTCAGATAAGTTCGAACTGAGCTCGAGTCGATCTCAAACATTTGTGTATTTATTTTTATTTTTCGAGTCGAGCCAAGCCTTAAAATGCTCTACTCGTCGCTCGAGGGTGATTAATTGTAAAAAAAGTCGAGCCTAGCTAGATAGATTAATCCAATGCTCGACTCAGCTCAATTTGCTTGCAGCCAACACTTCAAATTAAGCTTTTTCGTGCCATGTCATATTTTACGATAAAGTAAGTATATCACAACTTTTCGGCTCCCTTGTCCCAATTATATCCGGTATTGGAGTTATCTCATCAGAAAAACACAACCACTTACCATTAATCCCTTAAACCCTTGAAATAGTAAACTAGCATTGTGATTCCATTTTTCATGTATAGTCTCTTTACATGGATTTGGACAGGACACAAAACAAAAAACTGTTTACCCAAACTTTGATATTCCTACGTACCTTCCTGAATGATCCAACCATCTTCTTAAATGTCACTAATAGAAAAAAAAAAATGAAAAATAATTAAGGAACTTTAAATTCTAGGTTGATAAAAATTTATTACAAGTAGATTTTATAGTCATATAAGAGATGTGGTGACATAATGGTTTTAATTACATGTATCTATCGGTATCTCAGAAATAAATGGCTGCTGCAAGTTACAGCAGCAACAACAGCACGTCGTCCCCCTTTGCATGCTTTTGCAGTTTGCCCAATTTATTACAAAAGTTGTGTGTGACTGTGAGTGGTTATGAATGTGTTTGCCATGCATGGTGGCTAGGCTTTTTTTGTTCAATTATATTGCATAAGAATCTTGTCACATATATATATATATAGTAATGTATGATTAGTTAATGTACTTTTTATAATATTTCAAAGTGTTGTGTATGCTTTATGCTAGCTAATTAAGTAGCAAAAATAAATAGTGTAGGTAATGAACCAACTGCCATACTTATTCAATGTGAGATGGATTTTTTTTTTTTTCTTAGATA